TCTTTCAACTCGGATACTTGGGTCTTTAATGTCCCTAGCTCTGCTTGTAGCAGGATATTTTCAGTCTGCAAAGTAGTGCATTTCATTTGCATCTCCTCGCAACTGAGCTCGCAAGGCTCGTTCTGGTTGCTCTTCGTCGAAGATTCTGAAAGGATCTGCTCGATAGTCGTTGTCTCTGGGACTTCAGTTCTTTGCTTTTTCCTTTTTGGAGCATTTCGAGATTCAAATAGTTTGTCTTTATTCCAGGAAAAGACCTCGGGGCCTTCTTCTTTACTTCCTCGGAAATGACAACTACAAACTCGAGCGCCTTTGCCAGGTTCACGATCAGCTCGTCTGGAGAGAGAAAACGAAGGTTTTAAACTTTAATCATAACGTAAAAAAAAGCTTTTTTTCTCTCTAGAGGTCTTTCAAAGGTATAATCCACAGGTCAGTGCACTTTTGAGTGGTTAAATAAAACCATCTTCCGCGTAACTATAACCGACACGTGGCCGTGCATCATGGTGGTCATTGTACCAAAAATCAACCTACCTTATTAGAGAAATCCATTTTCTTCTTTGAGCAGGATCTTTGGGGAAACGGTAAAAGCTGCAATTGTGACTTTCTGACTGATGATTGCAGTCGGGAACGAAGCATTGGCCCATTTTATGATGAGATGTAACGAAAGACGCCAAATAGTGTTTAGATCCAGCAAAAATGCTACCATGGTAACATGACGTCACACTTCGGCACTCTATAGATAGTAACATCAGTACACCCCACTGTTAATACAAAATTGGTGTAGTTTTCAGCAATAAGTGATTCAAAGGCTCTATGCAAAGAACAACAGTATTGATATTCTTCTATGGTGGCTTCTTGATGAATGGTACCAGAGTAGCTTTCACTGTACTGAAGTTAATAGTCAGTGTTAAATACATTTAGCATCAATGGTAATTCTGACTGCATTGAAGAGGATTGTCTGGCTAATTGAGACAAGCCTGAATACAACTGATTTCCAATATCCATAATTAACATAAGGTCATTGGCAGAATTAATTCCATGTTTGTTATTGTAAATCAAAGAGCACAAACTCAATGCAACACGTTGCCGAGAATTTTATTCAAATACTAGCTCATTACCTTGGCTATACGGGGCTGATATTGTTTTTGGTAGGGTCAATGCACATTGGAGCAGGACCAGGGTTCTTCAGTCTACATCAGTGCTCAGTTTATATAATTCGATATTTGGGTCTGATTTTTGTACAAGCACATCAAACTATTGCAAGTAAACAATGATAAATACCGATTTGCTCGACATTTAAGCTTCATTATCCCTCGATAAACCCAGCTAGAGCAGTTAAAGAAAAGTTTCATTTCATGTTGTTATTTTTTTAAGCTCATTCTCTGAGTATTACATTCATGTTTTTTAACTTTTTCAACCTTCATATAACAATAAAGCTCGGAAGACTTCGGTATGCTTGCACGGATACGTTTGAAGATAAACTCCTTCAGCTTTCTGCTTTTATTTCTCAGACATTTCAGAGTCCGTATTGGTAATCTGTTGGGTTCTTGATAGCGTTTAACCACATGACGATTCCTATGTAGGCCAACGGCAACATGAGATAGGCGATTTGATATAGCATGATTTTCAATAGATGGTTTATTTGATGTAGCAGTCATAGCGTGGTTCATGATAAAAGGTTCACTGGTAATGGTTCGCTCGTAAATTGATCTCTCATTAACCTCTCGGACCGACCTCTTCCGAAAATGCTCGACATCTTTTAGTGTGGGTCTACCGCGAGAATTGTGTGCGTTTGTATGTGTTTTGAGCGCGTTAGACTTCATTGTTTTCGCAATCAACGCATGCGCACTACATAGAATCTACGCATGCGCTGTTAACACGTCGCCGATTTGTGATTGAACGCAAGAAACGAAGCCCAATTTATAACTCGGCTGTTTCCTTCGGAAAGCCCGAGTAATGATATCCTACTGAGGGTGAATGATAATTCTTATTTGGGAAAATGAGCCAAAATCGAAAGAAACAACGGTAAACGACTTCAAATCGAGCGTTTGAAGGGTTTGCACGTGAGTCAGCGAAACATACGCCAAGCTTGTATGGGCTTCTCTTCTATCTTCTTTTAATGTGTGAATGCTTACCCCACCGATTTTTCTCTAACGTCTCAACCTTCCCTGATTAGTGTAGAATATCATTAAGAAAAGTCACTCTAACTCGTGTTTAAACGTTAACCTGTTATTTTCTAAGTTCTTTTCTTTCGACCATCTCTATTCCATGATTGTCCTCTGGCTGGAAAAAGATGTTATCTTTTATAATTTTTTTTTGTTTTTTTATTCGGTAACTTTACTGTTACTGCATATGTCAGTGCCTTCTTTTGTCTAGCATCTG